AAATATAAGTCTAATGGTTATTGCAGAAATCAGTTGATTTGTAGGCAGTTTGTATTCTTAAGGTACCGGAGCCAAAGTTACAAAGCATTATTCCCGCACCATGTGGCTCAACGTGTCGTTGAATCTCCCTAAGCGTGAGGCCACCGGCGGCTCACACGGTATAGAAATTATTCGTAAGATTTTATATCGAGGTCGGAGTCAGTACATTTTTACCGACTTCGATTCCACCTAAAATTGCTTCTGACTCTGACTCCGACTCCACAGCCCTGGATTTCTATGGCAGTAAAAACTGAGAATTGCATTATTGTGGGTTATGGTACTGTCTACTTGTTTACTAAGTATTATATACATATAAAATACTTAGTAAACAATATACATAATATACATTTTAATATTATATACATATTTCATTATGATCTTTCTACAATCTTTTCAAGAGGGGACTATGAGTCACAGAGAGCCCATATGACAATGTAAACTTGTAATGTGCTAGACACAGAATCTTGCAAGCTTAATCTAGTTTTTTTTATAATTAAGTATTTTAATACTGTTTTAAAATTTCTACAGCTCCAAGTAATATTGCATTTATAATAATGGTGTGGGATGTAAGAATATTTATGGCTTGGTCACAGCTCTGTCACTGGTTCAAATTTTTCCAATCTATGAATATTTTTATCACAATAATCTTAATTATTGTCATTAGTCAAACATTTTTCAGGTAAACCCTTGAAAAGTAATATAACTGAGACCAGGCCTTAAGAACTAACTCCACAGATGCATATAACTCTAAATTTGTACGCAAAATAAACAATACCACATATTTCAGTCATTCAATATGAAAAATAAAAGAGACGGCCTTAAAGGACACCTGTGTACTATGCATACGTATGCAGTGGGAATAAATTTGATATTCTTGGAACTTTTACTACTAATATTTGAAATTTAATTTCAAGATTCGAGATTTATTTCAAGATAACTTAACCTCAACGCAAAATAATTAAACTAATTAAAAGTAACTGTTAAATTTGGGTAATCAAAATATACTTATATATGCACATTGGCAATTTAGAAAAGCTCTTGCTTATTATTTAAAATTTTTTTTTTTTCAGATGAAGAAAGGCAAATGACAGATGAGATTTTACACGAGTTAAAACTTTTTGACAACAGTCGACTGCTCACAAATCAACTCTTCTCCATAATGAGAAAATTACCTTTGGCCTCGCTGTTTAGTTTTTTACCCACTCATAAAGGGATTGTAATATATGACTGGACAATCTGTACTGCATGTTATTCAGTAATCGAAGCTCTGCTGATATACTCACAAAGCCATTCACATCAGGATCTCCGCAACCTTATATATTCAATGTGTATTAACCTTGAAACACACAGTGATGAAATATGTGCTGGCGTTATTGACTTGAACACGGTAATTGAAATCCATTTAGAACATCTGTATTACCATTTCCGATAGGCTATGACAAGACCATGCCATGCCTCAGACTGTTAAGAAAATAATGCTTGAAATATTTATAAGATATACAGGATGAGTCAAAAGCATATTTACAAACTTTGTGTGCGTGTTCCTGGATCAAAAATAATAAAAAATGTTCCTATGAGCATGGGATCGCAAATGTTTACTTTTCAAAATAATAGCCAAAAATAAGTTTCAACGTATGCCTTTATTGCCAAATATAAGGACAGGGATGTTTCTTTATAACAGACGTTCAAAGGTTGTTCCTCCATTCTCCACAAATGCATGAGCACGACGTACACAAGACTGACGAATTCGTTCGTACCCACCAGGGTTTCCTTGAATCATCTGGCATGCATTCTGCACACGTTCTCATAGGTCGTCTTCATTGTTTATGGGTGTTGCATAAATGACGGACTCCAAGTGACCCCACAGATAAAAGTCGAATGGAGTCAGGTCCAGTGACCTCGGTGGCCATGCTACTGGGCCACCGCGTCCAATCCATCCCTGAGGGTACTGTTCATTGAGATGATCTCTGACATGACAGGAAAAATGTGTTGGGGCTCCGTTGTGCACAAACATTTGCCTTCTTGTATTCAGTTGTACATCTTCAGGCGTGGCAAGTGTCTTCTTAAGAATCACCGATATGAAGGTCCTCTTAGACGCGATGGAAGCATGTGTGGACCAATAAGCATGTCGCCAACATTTCCTGCCCAAACGTTAATTGAAAATCTTTGCTGGAAGCTGGATTCACTTTGACATAAAGTCAACTCATTTAAACTTATTTTTGGCTATTATTTCGAAAATGAAACATTTGCGACCCCATATTCATAGGATGTTTTTTATTTATGATCCTAGAACACACACATGAAATAAATAATTTTGACAGAATACGAAAAACGGAAAGTTATCTATACATATAAACTATCCATACTCATGAGCATTTTAAACAGCAGATGTTATTTGTAATAATTTAACACATTCTACAGGAAACAATAGCCTATATACTTAACAACACTAAAGGACTCACTTCTAGTCGAATATGTGGAATTGTATTCCAAGGCAGTGGGTGTTCAGAAGACGAGCCTAGTCTTGAATGGACTGTCAATGTTGACCCTGGACCCAAGCCACAAGCCAACAGAGAAAACAACAGGAGGACAGATGTAAGAGACATCTTATACATAAAACTCTCTATTCAGATGAAACCATTATAACCATAAGACTGCAACCTATATTTACTAAAAACAAGTACACACCTAATTTCAGGTATTTTATATAATTTCTTTCTACTCCAGAAAAGACTTAGAGGCATTACTTAGTAAAGTCTGAAAAGGAAATTGGGTTTCTACCTTGTAGTTGCACAATGATGCCTTTTCAGCAACTCCTGCGGAAATAACTGGCTAGAACTTACAGATATGTGCCACTATCCATCCTCCATAAACTAAATTTATATTCCTCCCCCAGTATTGTCAGGGTGATTAAGTCGAGAAGAATGAGATGGGCGGGGCATGTAGCGCGCATGGATGGGACAAGAGGTGTGCACCGGGTATTGGTTGGGAAGCCTCAGGGGAAGAGACCGCTGGGGAGACCTAGACGTAGATGGGAGGACAATCTCAGGCGGGATCTATGGGAGATAGGAGTTGAAGGAGATTGGATTTTGTTGGCCCAGGACAGGGTCCGGTGGAGGGCTTTGGTTGATTCGATGATGAACCTTCGGGTTCCGTAAGCCATCTGGTTGGTTGGGTCCACTATTTGGGAAGCCTGAGGGGAAGAGACCTCTTGAGTGACCTAGACGTAGATGGGAGGATAATCTCAGGCGGGATCTATGGGAGATAGGAGTTGAAGGAGATTGGATTTTGTTGGCCCAGGACAGGGTCCGGTGGAGGGCTTTGGTTAATTCGGTGATGAACCTTCGGGTTCCGTAAGCCATCTGGTTGGTTGGGTCCACTATTGGGGAAGCCTGAGGGGAAGAGACCCCTGGGGAGACCTAGACGTAGATGGGAGGATAATCTCAGGCGGGATCTATGGGAGATAGGAGTTGAAGGAGACTGGAT